CCCTGCTATGCAGGTGTGGACTGCGTGGAGGGTGGAGAGGAATCAGTGGGCCTAGGATGCGTGCCGCGATTAGCGCAATTTTGCTCATACATTTTGACGTCGATAAATAAGAATAATATCACGGCGCGCATCCTAACCCAGCAGGGGGCGATCATATTATACAGGTGGGCAATTGCCGGGACGGACTATGATAGTTGATGGCTTTGTCGGGATTCCCATAGTTCTTCACACTAAGGCGATCTCAGGGGTTATTTATGTGGGTATTCCTCATCCTTCCGATGAGAGGAGCCCCACATAATTTACCACTTCCCCGCAGGATAGATATGCTACCTTAGGTACTGTTAGGTGATTGTAATGTTGCTTTTTATTCTTTCTCATATTAAAGAAATCTAATTTCTCAAAAAGTTATATTTATCTCTTTAGAAATCTAGATATTCATATTTCTTTGAGAAAATCTAGATAATTTAATCTTCGGACAAGTAGGTATTAGAATGATCGGCATTGCCGATTAGTCGGCCGACTAATCGGCAATTTGAAAACCGATTAGTCGGCTAGTCGGTTAGTCGGCAAAGACCATAGTCGGCCCATCACTAATTATTACTTAAGTATACACATCAATATGGGTTTATATTCTCACACTTAAGTAACGTAACAAACCTATGTAGGTATAAACAATTTTATTTTTAAAACGTAAGCACATTTTTTTCCCAAATAAGTCATAGTTGCAAGGTTGAAGACGTTCATTTGCCGGAAGAAAATTATTTATTTTTTACGGATCCGGCGACTGGGACCGCGGTCCCAGTTAATTGCGGTTCCAGTCGCCGGAAGCCTCAAATCCGTAAGTAGGCCTACTTTGTCTAATACGAGTTCTAATTCAAACATGAGCAGCCGTACCAAATTTCATCAAAATCGATTATAGTGCCACACATGGAGTGTTATATCTATTTAAATTATTGAAATCAATTTACTGTTCAAACAATAACTTACTCTCGGTTATTACGAGACATACTTGACCTCTGCCTAAATTCGAATGATCATTGGACATTGCTCGCTAGGTCAAGTGATATTTTTGACTATAAAATTCAAAATCTCTAAAAATCTTTCAAAGTCTCTAAAAATCTTAAAATGATGGGTCATTTCGGTTAGTTTACTCGGTAAATTTATGTTTTGAAATACACAGACTAGCCCATATTTTTTTCGACAACGGCATTCCCAACTAGTTATTCATAGATTTGCTAACTCAAAAATTGGCATAAATATTCAAAAACAATCATCTTAGGCTTGAATTTGTTTGAATTTATGAATTATGTTTTAACCTAGTCCTAGTTTATTATCACCCACAATTTTCGAAAAGATTACATAATTACCTACGTAGGTATTTATAACTGGATTAGATAATGTATCTACATGCATCTCAATCAGCCAAACAAACATTCGTAATTAGTTAACATGAAAATAACACCTAACTACCTAACTTATTGTTTTTGGTTTTATGCTAAAATGATGTTTGGCATGAAGATAGTTTACTAACCTAAAAACTGTGTACCTACATAATGATGACTAACTAAAAGTAAATTAGCATACTGGTTGACAACGCAAACATATCAAGAAAGTTGACGTTTTCCTGCATTTTTAAAGAAAATCGTACTCCGTAGAAAGCACAGCTGAATCATAAGTTAATTAAGGAAAAACATTATTCTTTAATACTAAATACGTAGATTGCTCTATTAAACGATGATGATAAGCTGGTGACATGTAAGCGACCGTAACTTTACATATGACATTCTAGTACAAAAGGATCTCAATGTCAGCTGTTGCAAACTACAAGGCTGGAAGTCGCTAACTGCCATACCACGGCCGTTTAGTGGGTCACCTAGGCTAGGGTTGTCATCTCCAGAGTTTGAAATCAAGGATTTTAAACTATTTAATAATTCCTTCCTACCAATCAATGTCCTGAAAAAGAGCTACTTAGTTAAATTTAAGTCAAGCGTTCACAATCGCTATAGTTCGTTCGCGTTAAGAATGCATTTAATCATCAGTGCAACTGCAGGTTAAAGGTGTATTCACAGATGTGTTGTCTAATGAGTCCCGGGAAAGGATATATTTTTTTTTGTTCCGCTTCATGAAACAGGGACGCCGTATAAAGTTTTTCTGTGACAGACAACACGCGGGCTAAGTCGAGGGCTAAAGCGAGTTTACTAATAAAAAATACAATAGCACCGAAGAAGAAAGTCTTAAACAAAATTAAATGAAAAGTTTTGCCTTTAAGTAATAAGCAACTTGAGGCAAAATTGCTGTGCACTAATTAAAATGACGGTCAAAATAACCCAAAAATGCCTAAACGTTGTCCCAAACATCTTGTTATATCCTGGGAAAACAGAACAGTGGGGTACCCTTCCACAGACTCATACAGTCGAGCCCCTCCAGCGAAGCTCCGAAGCACGTGGCCCTCCATGCGTATGCTAGATCCTCCTCTACTAGACCACAGCACCTACGGCCGGCCAAAAAGCGAAAGTCACAACTGCCCAACCAATTTTATTCTCATTTTACGTTACCAAACCGATGATATAACGGTTGTTGGGAAACCTTCAAATCACTCACTTTGGCGAAACTGTACCATCGAAGTAGTCGATATTTGATGTTATAGAAAGAAAAAAACTTAACGGCCTCAAAGTGCAATTGTTTTTTTTAAAGTTGCTTAATGTTTTTAATGATTGAAATTGCTCTCTTGTATGGAGAGCAATGCTGTTGTGCTGCATCTTGCATATCCATGAATTAATATATTTTTCTAATGCATACGGAAGTCTATTTCCGTATAACTTGCCATTCACATAGCTTATTGCCAATTTAGTAACATAAGAATGTTCACATAACTGTGTTAACGATACCTGTTTAAGTTGAACGATTTTCCATGCTTTGTGGTTGTCGTGGCAGACACAACAATTATAAAACCATTACCTACAAGGCTCATAGTTTGAGGTCATCTGCGGTGTCAAAATACTTAGGTCTTCTAAGATATAAAAATATTAGTTCGAACTAGAACTAACTAAATAATAAACATGTTTACATTATTATGGTACATCCTTAGTCCTTACATTTTGGTAGAGTCACTAATTCATTTGAAAGTTTTTCTTCTTTTATCTACACTAATATTATAAAGAAGAAAACTTTGTTTGTTTGTTTGGTTGTAATGAATAGGCTCAAAAACTACTGGACCGTTTTTAAAAATTCTTTCACCATTCGAAAGCAACATTATCCACGAGTAACATAGGCTATATTTTATTTTGGAAAAAATAGGGTTCCGTAAAACATTTGGGTTTTTCGGAGTCCACGTGGGCGAAGCCGCTGGCGGAAAGCTAGTTGTTTAATAAAAAGATCTATTAGTTATCAAAAGATCTAAGTTAGGTAGATTACAGGACGTCTACAAAGAAAAGTTGAAGGTACATTGTTATATTTTCATGGCTTTGGGCCTTACTGTTATTTCGAGTTAGACAAAAAGTTTAACAAACTAAAAAAGGTGCAAATCATTGATTTTCGTCAATATATTGCCTTTTTTACCTCACGGCCCCGTTACTCGCAGCATAATCTTATTACAAATTCCATAGAATTCATTTCCAAATATCTTTTATAAAAACTAGATAAATCTCCATGAATGTTTGTGTGTGTAAACATACGTGACATGATACGACATCGTGAATTTGGCAACATATTTTACGAAGTTCTAAGGACAAACCAGTCATTGTTCTCTTAGAACAAGCGTCAAATCAGAACAAGTGCTACTAGTTTTACTTGCCATGTTCTTTGTAAAATGTTGCAAGTTCTAGTATTTGTGTAAGACAAACAATGCTAATTAATACACAACTTGCTCTCAAATGCTCTTTTTACATCTAACTCATGTAAGAGATGTTGAAGAATACAGCTAGCCTACACTAGATTAAAAAGACACCAAAAAATTATGTAAATATCGTATAACAACAAAGTTTCTATGGCTCTAGAAAATTATTTGAGTTATGAGCGTTGCATGTTATTATATGCTATAAAAATCAAAGTCATGTCTTTAAACATTAAAATTCAAGGTTACGCCACTGTTGAGCAACAGCAATGACCGAGCTGGTACCATACCACGACTACGAGGCTGCCTCAGCTTCGAGATAACGGTCCGCTTTGGCCACTTCATTCAAGAGCTTTAGGCTAACCGCGTACCCAGGCACGTAATTCGATGCGGCACTTCAAACTAAATTATAGGTACGATACATCTACTGTTGGTAAAACTGTGGTAAAACTTTGAGGAGGCTAGAAAAGAGCTAAGGATCTCCGTAATCAAATTATTAGGAGAAAATCTTGATTTACTTAAGGGTTCAACGGCACTGCCTTTTCCCCGGCACTTATTTAGCATTCACTGCTTTGGTGCTATTGGCGGTCCAAAGCTGTTTTCACTACCGAAACTGATCTGTAATAACATTTAGATGAAAGAAAATTATAAAAGTTAAAAGTGCTATAAAGTATGTACTATACAAAACACGTTGAGATATTGACTGCATTATGAAGAAAAAGAAGTGGTCAGCGTCACGCCGCGGCGCCTGCATTGTAGTTTGTGGTCAGCCTTTCTATCGTGTAGACCGTGTAGTATTATACATAATAGTCAAGTGTGTCAGGGGTCCACGACATTGGTTATACTATAAAGATGCCGCGTTAGCGAATATACGTTACCTACTAGGTAACGTGGCAAAAAACTTAAATACTGACACGTCGTGCTCAATTATTGAAGCCATCCCTGATAAAAAGACTACATAATTTTCAAAATACGACACTTTGAAACTTAGTTATAACAGTGATCACAGCTATCCTTAGTTCAGGAAATCAAGAACTATAAAGTTACATCTAAACGACTCTATGTGTTTACAACACACTGTTTCTGCAAAACATACCTTGTTGGTCTTAGTGATTTAAGTGGGCATTCTCTCAATTAATACCTTACTGCGACATGCTTACTACGTGTAATGTTTGCTCTCTCGTTTGCAGTTATGGCGTCCTCAGCGTCAATTCGCGACTTCTACAAGGGAAGGAGTGTTCTGGTGACTGGAGGCACAGGATTCATGGGGAAAGTCCTTGTGGAAAAGCTTCTCTACTCCGTTCCTGATATTGGCAACATCTACGTCGTCATGAGGCCGAAGCGGGGGAAATCTGTGCCTCAACGCATCGAGACTATGCTACGTTTGCCTGTAAGTTTCTTAACTTTGATTTGAAAAAATATTTTTGGGTTTGATAGCCCATTTATCGAGGAAGGCTTTAGGCTAATTCCATAACCTTACACGCCCTACAGTCAATAGGGGCGGAGCAGTAAAGAAAAATGTTACAAAAATGGGAAATATCTATTATTCAAACCATTTCCACTTAGATGAAGTAGCGGGCACAGCTAGCTATAGGTAATAAGGCTACTAACCTTGATAAAAACGTAACGAAATTGATTTGAAGTAAATTTCACTGATTCCTGTGACTTTACAAGTTAATTTAAGTACTGTATTAAATCAGTACCCTGAGCACTAACCCTAGTAATCATGAAACGATCTTTAGTGCTCAGAGCTCAGTTGTATGGTTACATTCAGGCGAACGTTAGCAATGTAACTACATAATTATTATTCAATGTTCAAGAGTCATTATCTATAAATATGTTACAAAACATGTTAACTAGTAAAGAACAGGCTAAGGTCGAAGAACGTTCATAACTTCATTGTGACAATTAGCTATACTATTACTAGTTTAGTGTCGTTACGTAGAAGTAATGTCATAATTATTACAGATAAGATTAATTATAACAACCTTCAAGAAAAGTGGAAAAGTGGACTAGACTCGTAACTCTATTGTCTGGTCCTGTTAGGTATCCTATCAAATTGCTCTGTCATCCCAACTAATATTATAAATGCGAAAGTAACTCTGTCTGTCTGTCTGTCTGTCTGTCTGTCTGTCTGTCTGTCTGTCTGTTACACTTTCCCGCTTAAACCTCGCAACCGATTTTGATGAAATTTGGCATAGAGATAGTTTGAGTCCCGGGAAAGAACATAGGATAGTTTTTATCCCGGTTTTTGAAACAGGGACGCGCGCGATAAAGTTTTTCTGTGACAGACAAAATTCCACGCGGGCGAAGCCGCGGGCGGAAAGCTAGTTTTTCTATATATCTTACGAGTATTTTTTTTTTTTAGGAATTACAAACAAATGTCTTACAAAAATTAACTTATCTACTAGACTTATGTATTATTTATGTGGTAACACATCCCACTACGTAATCCACATATTGATAATGAAACCATGTAATATAGAGCGAGGCAATTACAATTAAGGTACACCTTATAAACGCGGTGCGGCTCAACCAACACCAAGAAGTAATTAATATTATGTTCAGACTTTTAATTATTAATTTTGTTCTGTTTTTTTTTTCTAATTTATCTTAATTTTAATTTGGTCACTTTGCAGAGTGTCTAAAATATGCTTTTTAAATCTTGAGGAACTCTGGGAAAAATCGATGCTATTAAACTTCTGGTTGTAAATGGACAACAGTCTATTGAGTGGGGCTCGTAAACCCGCATTGGTTTTACACAAGTCTACATAAAAGAGAACCTACTTAGTAGAATCTAAGTGATCTAAGTGAATGATACTAGTAACTTTTGTTTCAAAGAAACTAAGTAAAAGAAAGTGGTGTACGGTATGAACGTTTTTATACGAACGAATTAGTTTTTTTTATGCTTATCAAGGCAGGTATTTGACCACAATCGCACCTGGTGTTGAGTGGGATGCAGAATGATAAATAAAGAAATATACCATTCCTTACGTGTTTTAATAAGCCAAGATTAATAAAAATGTATTGTTTTTATTACAGCTATTCGATCGTCTTAGAAGTGAACGCCCAAACGCTTTGAAGAAACTGAAGGGTCTACAGGGAGATGTCTTATTCGACGATTTAGGACTATCTTCGCATGATATCGAAATCTTATCTGAAGAGGTATCCGTCGTATTCCACTTCGCGGCGACACTCAGGCTGGAGGCGCCGCTCAGGGATAATGTGAACATGAACACCTCGGGCACGCTGCGAGCTTTGAGCGTGGCCAGAAGGTTGAAGAATCTGGTCATCTTCGTTCATCTGTCAACGGCTTTCTGCTACCCCGATTATGAGCTTTTGAATGAAAAGGTATGCTTTTCATACTCATGTTGAATACCTACTTGATTATTATTTAATTAACTGCTTGATGTACCCTTCAGTAGAGTCCAAAGTTAGTAAAAACTAAACATTAATATAGAAGGGACAATCGCACAAAATAGTATTGGTCATACACGTGACATTGATATCAGAGCCGAAGGTGTGACCGTGCGAATGGCGTAATGGAGCCAAGAGTGTGAAACCATCCATAGAGTTTCATACGAAGATTATACGGAATCCGTAAATTCGTTAATATAAATTGGTTCGTACGTAACACAAAAAAACTTCTCGTTCCTTACTGCCCAGATTATTTTGTAAAGAGAGACCTACACTCCATTTCAGACGCACGCGCCCCCCGCGAAACCTGAAGATGTGATTAGACTGACAGAATGGCTCGATGACAAGCAACTGGCTCTCCTGACGCCTTCACTCTTGGGGTCTCATCCTAACTGCTACACCTTCTCTAAGCGGCTAGCGGAGAACGTCGTTGAAAGGGCCTATCCCGAACTGCCGGTCGTGATTGCTCGGCCTAGCATTGGTAAGATTTAGCAATCTAGTAAGTATTGTAACCTTGTGATAAAAATCTACTATAATAGAGAAAGAACTGATGTTCCACGTTACCTACTTCACTTTGCAAGAATTATTGTGATTATAATTCAGTGTTCGTTTTGTGCTCATTTTGAAAGCTAAATCTTGTCAAGTAGAGAATGTTGAATGCGTGACATTTTTAGGAATTAGGGGGGTGTCCCAAAAAGTAGTGTCAAGCCGAAGCCCAGAAGTAGAGCATAATTAGGGCTACCCGAATCACCGCGACTTATGATAGTTTTCGAGTTGTTTTTTTTTTTTACAAAATTCAGAATTTTTGTTTACATTCGTGTTATGGATGTAAATACTTCTGAATCTGCTAGGCCTAGTATTGATCTAATAATAATAAAAATACAGGCTTATGACTTGACTATTCGCGTCACAGTGACCAAAAAAGTGCCCAAGCACAGAAAACAATCATAACTCGAAAACTATCAAAAATCTCGGAACATACATGAGGGTGATATGTGGATAGCCCTAGTGATGCTCTACCTCTGGGCTTCGGCAAGACACTACTTTTTGGGACACCCTGTAGATCAATTTTATCACGCAAGTTTTGTGTGTTTTCAGCAGAAAAACTTTGATCATTATAACACTATTTATGACGGTCAACTCTGCTTTCAGTGTGTCCAACATATAGGGAGCCAGTGGCAGGGTGGGTAGACAACCTAAACGGCCCCGTTGGTCTCATGCTGGGCGCAGGGAAGGGCGTCATCCGGACCATGCTCTGCGACGGCTCCCTCAACGCCGAAGTCATACCTGTAGATGTTGCCATCAACGCCATCATCGCAATAGGCATGATCGAGGGAACAAGACAGGAGAAGTGAGTCTCAGACTTATTCATTTAAAATCTCTGAATTGAACATGAGCCGGAAGACGTAGTGTGGGCAGGCTTCCCGCTGGGTGGACCTACAAATCAAATCAAATCAAATCAAATCAAATATATTTATTTTGCGAACATGGGTAAATGTAGGTATTACAAGTATTTTGGTATCTCCATCTTCCACCTTTTGGCATGCAAAATTATAAATCAAACTTATCAAATTTCATTTACATAAAAAATAATTTTCACTTAAATAATGTCAGATCAATCGCAGTCATATTATAATTGAATAAACATTCTACATTACATTTAAACATAAAATAATAATAAAACAATGTCATAAACACAATAAAAGTTAAAAAATTACATATTATACAATCACATTTATATTAATGGTTACAATTCTCTATCATTAAAATATTCATTCATANCCTACGATCTAGTGAAGTACCTACATGAATGCGGCCAGCGCAAGGTTGTGGAAATCCTTGGGGGAGGCCAAATTCAGCAGTAGACGACATTTGGCTGAAACGAACGGACTCTGAATTTTTTATATCTACTAAGGTAACTGACTAAACACGTTGTTTTTCTGATTACAGGCCTGAATTGATTCCCGTATACAACGTCAACATCGGACACCAAAAGCCCACATCATGGGGCGAAGTGCTGCTAGTGGCAAAGGATTACGGACGTAAATATCCGCTGGAGTGGCCCCTCTGGTATCCAAATGGCGACATCACCACCAACAAAACCTTGCACGAAATACGCCGTATATTATTCCATCTACTGCCAGCTTACTTCATTGACTTTTTACTGTTAATTTGTGGGCAAAAACGAATGTAAGTTTAGATTTCATTTTTAGAGTGAGTGTGTCTGAATTAATGAAGGCAGAATTTCTGCTAAACTTACCTACTTGTCGTGACGATAGTGTAGCGGAATTTACTAATATTTATCAACGTATTTTTTTAAATTGCGAACTTAAAGCTTTAGTAATGTTTCAATTTATTACAGAATGATTCGAATCCAGGAAAGGATCAGTCAAGGACTAGAAGTCCTTCAATACTTCACCATGAGACCATGGAAGTTTGCTTGTGATAACTACGACAGTATATGTAAAATATTGAATGAAGAAGAAAGAGAAATGTTCATCACAGACATCACTACCGCAGATCGTAATGAATACATGGCAAAATGTATAAACGGCGGTCGCATGTACTGCTTGAAAGAGGATCCGGGAAAACTTAAGCGCAACAGAGCTTATCATAACTTGTAAGTACCTACTTATTTACTTACTACAATATATTTATCAAAGACAAACATATTAGTTACTATTATGTTCACACGAAATCATGGGACTATGATTAAGTAATTGCATGTCTTGTTTTTAGACCAATAGGTAGTTAAGCCTTGATAATGTTCTCGAATTTTATTTTTGATCAGTGAATTTGAGTATCATTTTATAAAGCCTTGATCATTCCTCTGTAGGTAACCTACATAATATCATAAGGTCCGATTTCCACCAAAGCGGAGAAGAGATGTGTTTGAATAACAATCAGATTTCCAAACTGATGCTGAGCGGAGAAGTCGTGGAAATAACAAAATCTGACTGGTTTTGATCACATAAATTTAAACATCTCTCTTCCTCTCCACTTTAGTGGAAATCGGGCCTAATTGTGGTTATTGTGGGTGGACCCACACAAACTATAACCACGCGGCCATGGCTAGGATGCCCGTCGTGACAAAATTTAATTTTTATCGATGATTTTAGACAAATGTATGGAATTGGTCGCGTCAAATCGATAAAATACTTAGCGCGATAAAAGCTTAACGCTAGCACTGTGCAAGGCTGCTAGATTTTTTCTAGTAGCCTTGCATGTGGTTGAGCTCAGCAGTTTAACCGAGCTGTGTGGTTCCACCTTGAAACTTATGAAGGCTAGTTTGATAGTGAAACTAATGTATTATTTTTGTTTCAGCCTGTTCGTTTTGGACTGGATTGTAACGATTTTCTTCTGGCTGCTGGTTATTTCGTTCTTGGCGTCTTGGTTCGCGCCGGTGAAGGCCGTTCTCTCACTTGGTGGGCCGCTGGTGAAGGCATTGCCTTTCGTCGGTTCCGCGGTTTTTGATGGAACAAACGAATAAGGCTCTCAATCTATTCAAATAACTTACTTTTTGGCACCTAAGTACCTAATACGTTTGTTTAAAATATTTTACCAGCCGAGTAACAACCGCGCTACTGTACGATTCTGTAGGTATTCCATTTATTGTTACTTACGTGGTTTAAAAAATAATAAGAATGAAAAAATACTTAGATATGAGCATCTTTCTTGTGACAATTATAGTAGTTTAGAGAATATATTAATAGTACGGTGAAGAGTAAATAAGAAACCTCAATAGCGCCAAATGATTTCTTCCGTTTTTTATACGAATTCATACAAAACGCCGCTTGTGTTTAAGGGGCATGTAAGTACAATTTATTATTTTAAAACGGGTAAAGTTGAGTATACGTCCAGCGTAGTTCAGGGTATGGGCAGAAAGAGTAGTCGATTTTGAAGAATATAAGAAGACACTGTTGTTATTTAGAAAAGTAACACTAGACATTGTTAAAGAACAGCGTTGATACTAGTCAATAACATTGTAACTACTACCTCTGTTATGCATGTACGACAAAAATGCAGTTACCGTTAACCGTTTTGTTTTTATAAATAAAACTTAAATAGTTAATACCTCAAGTAGTTTTATGTAGTTGCTTGCAATCTACGAAATGAAGCGCTCACCAGTGGGCGCTACTGTCGACTAAGGTCCTTTAGGCAGGCAGGTTCTACAACCCGGTCAACTGTGCACAAGTTAACTGCGCACCTGGCTGCCATAACGTCACATCGATGCTCTAGTATGGACGGAGCGAGCGCGGGGAAGTGTGCGGGCACGGTAATACTATCTATACAGTATTCCAACTCGGCCATATTTTTGAAATAAATGTCAACAACCGCGCGGTACGTCACCGTATGACAACATGCGATAGGGCTGCCCACTTGCAGACCCTATTTTCATTACATCTGCCTACTTAGAATTTCTATCTAGTTTTGTGGATGTATTTTGCGATTGTAATTTTTTATTTTATTTTGACAAACAAAATACTTTGTGAATGTAATAGGATAAAAATGCATGTTGTTTTGTGATTAGTAGATTTAATTAAAAAAAAATATTTGTGTTAAGATTTAGTAACAAATCTTATGAATTTGCTACCTAAAATGTATGCGCCTCGACTAAGGCGTACAAAATGCTTGATTATTATACAGAATGTTAGGTAAATGGGTTTACAAGTGGACACTAGCCCATTTTAACATGTGCATATAAATGGTATGGTGAAGTCAGAAAATTGATATCATCATACACCCTGTATAAATAGGTACTTGTAAATATTTTTATAAAAAAAAACACTTACTGTTTCAAAAACAACACATCGTCCGTTTATTGCTGTGGCACATTCGCGACACCCCCGACTTTTGCATGTCGAGCGCATACCGAGATTTGAATTTCGAAGGAAAGCTCGCGTTTCGTCCATTTATATGAAGTTACAATACTGTATGATAATATTACCGTGGTGCGGGTGAGTGCGAGGGAGTCACATTCCAGCAAAGTGCGCAGTTTACTCGATCGGGTTGAACCAGCAACAGAACCTTACTCCGCCAGTGGTGCACTAGGGAAACCTTCATTTGATCAAGTCGATTTGGGGGGTAACGTGAAATACCTATACAATAATGTATACTGAGTGTAATTTTTATACTTGATCAAATAAAAATATTTTAACAGGACCAAATTCTAAAAAACAAAGATCCCCATACTAAATAACTGATTGCTGGTGACAATTTGGGTGGATTTGAACTTGGGTCAAAAGCAATCCTTTTAGTTTGATCAATTATTGCAAAAATTACACCACCCTGTATATTGTTTATCTACCTATATGTTCCGCATCGTTTTCGTAAAGTATAAAGACCTTATACAAAAAATACTTAAGCCTTAATCTTACACGCCAAGGGTGATTGGTTTTTACTTTGCTTAGGTCTTATCTGTAATTTTTATTATTAAATTTTTTATACATTGTTTTATTAGTTATAAATATTACCTTTTTGTATCGAGGGATTATATTTTTTTAATATAATTTTACGTGTTTTACTTATACCTTCGCACATAGTCTTATTATAGGCCAGTCAACGAAAAGGTGTAAAGGGAATGCAAGACAACAATAAAAAAAATTGAGTAAACAATTATGATTTATTAACTTAAAAACTTTCGAAACATCGCAGTGTTGGTTGCAATAAAATATATTAAAATGCGATCAGATACAAGCTCGTAAAAATAAATTACAAACACAAGTCTGATTCACTTAAAATAGTACTCTCGCACATTTTAAAAATAAAGTATATAAAGTCTTCGATAACGTATAGTAAACATGATAAAACAGAGTATTTTTTATATTTTAGAAAAACATGTATAACAATACAAAATAACCTTTTTTGCCAACATGATAAACTTTAAACAATATTGATAAATATCATTTTTTGTATTAAACTAAGCATAATAAACTCGCTTAAACCTCACGCCAGCAGACAACATAATTCTCTTAACGTCATTGTTGACCCCTCGTATCTTTTTTGACTGTTTTACATGGAAAAAATAGTTTACGAATTACGAGTTCTATCGATATAACATTTTGAGGGTTACAACATCTACACATTCAAAGCAAGACCAGCACGCCAGATAGGTGTCTCCGCATGATACTTGAGATCTTACAGCTATAATAATAAATATGTACTGTTTCTCCGAGTACTACCACTACTTGCTTGATGAGAAACGTACTTTACTGCGTTGCGTTGACGATGTCAACGAACTCTGGCTTGAGGCTGGCGCCTCCGACGAGGAACCCGTCGATGTCAGGGCACGCTGCAAGCTCCTTGGCTGTGGCTCCAGTAACCGATCCTCCGTACTGGATGCGGACGGCGCCGGCGACGTCGGCTGAGACGTTGCTGGACAGCCAGTTACGCAGAGCAGCGTGGACGTCTTGGGCCTAAAACAAATATAATGTCATCTTAATTTACAACAGCTTAAATAAGAGTTTTGTTAAATCCATATAAAGGTCTATTGAACCAAAAGTTGTGTAACTTTCGGTTGCATGCAACATAAAAATAATAGTTTTAAATGTTAATTTAATATTATACTATTACGGCCAACATTACGTCATCATCATTATCTCAGCCACAGGACGTCCTAACGACGACTACTGAACATAGGCCTCCAATGATTTCCATAGTGATCACTTGATAGCAGCTTGAATCCAACACCTTCCTGCTACCTATATAAGGTTGGTGGTCTACTATAAAATTATGTGAGGATTTTATGTTAAATCAGTTATTTACCTGTTGAGGAGAAGCAGTTTTTCCGGTACCGATGGCCCATACAGGTTCGTAAGCTAGCACAACCTTGTCCCAGTTGCTGCCAATAGCGGGCAAGAGTGCCTTGGTCTGCCTGAACACAACCTCTTCAGTCTTGCCGGCTTCTCTTTCTTCCAATGTTTCACCAATGCACGCAATAACTTTCAAGCCTGATTCCAATGCATGGGCAACCTAAATATACAATAAAAGGATATTAAGCATCTATGTTCGTAAAATGTAAGGTTTTAAAAAAATAGTAATCAATGAAAAAATACCTTTTCGGCGACAAGATCATCTTTTTCGCCGAAGATTGTTCGTCGTTCAGAATGACCCAATATGACCCAGTCACATCCAACATCTTTGATCATGGCAGGGGAGATTTCACCTAAAACAAGTTGGTGGTTATAATTCCAGTCTCTGACACATGTAGAAAAAGTTTAATATAATAACACAAGGGCAATAAAATAGATTATAAACTAACTACATCTGCATATGAGTTTTCAGCACAAACAAAAACAAAAACTAAGACATAAGAAGTATACATATAAAATATCATTATGTACCTGTAAAAGCACCCTTCGGCACTTTCCAGCAGTTTTGAGCAGCCACTCCGACTGTGTCAGGAATGATGCTCTTGACATGAGCCAGATAAATGGCGGGAACACCAATGACTACCTATAAAAAATAAAAACACACTATCACTACCTATAGTCTATACACAATCTCAATACGCGAATGATTAATTCAAAATCTATGTATCAACATTACCTCAACATTGGGATCCAAAGGACCCTTTTTCAGAGTGTTCACAATCTCATTTATTTGATTTTTGTCGCCATTCATCTTCCAGTTACCACCAACAACGAACTTGCGGCCCATTTTGAAGTTTGGCTTGCTAAAACACATCACCGAGTTGAATTTTGACATCTCCAAAAGGAATGAAATAAATGACAGTTTATGTGAAAATCCGTTTCTAATCCGTTTTTAACCGTCTAAAAAATAAATAAATTGTAATTTTGATCCGAGGGTAGTGTTGATTAGTGCTTAAGCTAAAACCATACAACACTGGGGAAGCCGGGTGGAGAGCTAGTTAAAACTGTAATCACATGTGTGTGTGTGCCCCTAATTCGATCCATAGTTTTCATGAAATTATTGCTGCACAGCATAATATGATTAGATAAAAATACTTTCATAAATATAAAAGACTCAATTGCTAATTTTATTGTAATTTTTCCAGTAACTTACATTTTCTAAGTTTCTTCTAGTTCTAATATAAAAAAGACTAATGTATTTGATAAAACGGAGTCCAGTATCTATGACATATTGAGTTTGTAGATAGTTTATATTTTTTTAACTGATGACCTCTACATCTTTAAGGTGACCTAAAAGGTTAAAAGACAAATTTCCAGTAAGCCCGTATTAATAATGCAATTAAGAAAATTAATTTGGACGACATTCGCTTTGGTCAAAGGAATCCCATACTCAGTTAGCTCGTTTTAAGGCAAACTAGAGAAATTAATTCGTGAGTCTAGCCGGTAAAAAAGTGAGAAATGCTTATTAAAAAAACTTTAACTGAGCTTTTCAAGTAAAAGGAGTCGCAGTCTTAATACTAATGTTTATTTATTGTTTGAGAATTTATATAATTGCAACTTACCTGGGTTTAGAAAATATTCCACAATTTTATTCCTCAACAGTGAGATCACACAGGGAATACGTGATGTCAAACTGGTGTGCACAAAATTCTGTTTCCTATACCACCGGTAAATTAATATCGATTGAATCATCTCACTCGGAAGTCCATTATTGGCTAAATGAAACGAACTGTTTGTTATTCCACCAATAAGAAACGAGTAAGCCCGGGCCGGTAAAATTTCTGTAATGGAAAACGCACTTGTCGGTGTGACCTTTTTGACATTGACCTTTTTTTTTAATGTTCCGCATGTAAATGACCAAGGAATACAAAATATAGGATTTATTAAATTAAAATTGAGAAAATTGTACCGAGACGCTATGCAACTATGCAAGTCGCGCAACGAAAGTTGAGGTCCTGGGGTTAAGTTTAACCGGTGTATCGGCAGAAAAGAAACCCAGTGGGTCTAGATAAAGTGCAAATTATAATCGCAAACCAGTCGAAAAGTGGTCGAAAAGCCCCTTTGTTGTATGGAGTTTTGACGGATTCGATTTTCGATTCGATCAAAAAGTGCGTTTTGTCTAGGGGGGCTAGTTTCGTTAACCCGTAATCCACATTTTAGTGGACCGGCGGCCGGCGGGACCCTGGTTCAGTCGAGGCATTTTGCTTAGTAGGCCACGATGGAGGCGATATCTTTAAAAATCTTCACCTGTGTGTGTGGTAAAGGGGGTGGGGTGTTTGCCCGGGTCCATTGATTGGTATGATGTACATATTCGATAAATATTATTTGAACTTGTGTAATGGTATTGTTCGTGTTCTGTGTTCAAATTCAAAGGCAAATTATTTATTGCGTACTAAGTGACAATTTGTAACGGTGTAAATCAGAGTGTTTGGATGTGAGTACCGTGCGCGCCTCAACTCTTGCTGCGCGACCTATAATGGCATACGCCTTTGCCTTTAACTGCAAATGAAAAAAAAAAGAAAAAAAAAATGAATGACGTATGACGTTTACAGTTTACTTGGATTATTTGCAATAACTTCTTCAATTTTGTGGAATTTTATATCAAGTACTATTTAGGTATATGTATTAATGTAATAGTGAATAAGTAGCACATTATTTAAAGTAATCATGCGTCTCAATTTGTTTTGGGAGGTAAGTTGCCGGTGTTAACTGCGAATTAGTGAGGTTAACCGCTCTTTTTTCTTTATATGCCTTCTACCGTAGTTAATATTGTCTTATATTCAAGACAACCTTAATCCACACACAAGTTAATTTAACATTCACTTTACAGGTTTTACCTTTGTTACTAGTTTTAGTGCAAATACCAGTTCAAGCAAAAAAACAGAAATCAACTGTAATTGCTGATGTAAATGATATTAAAGACTTTAAAAAGTTGTTGAGAACTAAAACAAATGTTATGGTTCTGTATGTTAATGCTCCAAAATCATCACAGCAAGTGTTAGAGGTGTTCAAAGATACAGCAGACGCTATGAAAGGTCAAGCGACCCTAGTCATAATAGACTGTAGTTATGGGTAAGGCAGAAAACTATCTTTTGTTCCATGTACAATTACCCCCTTACTAATAAAAAGTTACACACTCGTTGAACAGTAGTTTAAAGTGACATTTCCATACTTATCGTCACTTTTAACAAGTGTTCATGTTCAGTGAGTGATTATCTTTTATTAGTAAGGGGGTTATTATTTAACACCATAATAACCAATTGTCATTACCTAGTTAACCTATCTTCTTAAAATTTCAGTGAATCGAAGAAACTTTGTAAGAAATTGAAAATACCTTCGGATAAGTCTTATTATATTAAACATTATAAGGATGGAGATTTTCACAAAGATTACGATAGGAGTGTAACAGTTAGCTCTATGTCAAATTTTCTACGGGACCCTACTGGTGATTTGCCGTGGGAAGAAGACCCGGAAGCGACAGACATATTTCATCTTCAAGACGGAGATGTGAGTTAATTTTATGGTCATGTTATTAATGCTATGAGTATAATAAAAAATTAGTACTAAATGAGTTTACAATTATTTCATGTTGCATTTTATGTTTCTGCTACTGCTAGTTAATCAGTATGCTATGCTGTGTTTAATCAGCTTGGCGAATTGCATTGACAACCGGAACGTTATACAATTATTAGTTTTACGACATATTTCTACTTACAAAGCATAGCGAGTGTAACGCGGGTGAAAATATGCTTTATTACTCTTGTTCAATATACAGGGTGTTAGGTTAATGGGTATATGAGCCGACACTAGCCCATGTTAACATGGGCATATAAAGGGTATGGTGAAGTCAGAAATATGATATCATCATTTTATTTTATTTTCATTTTCATACAAAATACATTTTATAAAATCCGATTTGTATGAAAATTAAAATAATTAAATGAAGATATAAATTTTCTGACTTCACCATACCATTTATATAAATGGTATGGTGAAGTGTATGGGCATATGCCCATGTTAACATGGGCTAGTATCGGCTCATATACCCATTTACCTAACACCCTGTATACGTATGTTTCTATATTGTGAATAATTCCTTTGTTTCAGGCTTTGACCAAGTTTTTAAAAAAAGGTGCTGCGGCTTATAAAAAGTCCATGATCATGTTTTATGCTCCTTGGTGTGGTTATTGTAAAACATTAAAGCCTGAATACTTGTTAGCTGCTACGGACTTAAAGGTAAATTGATGACGGTGATATTATCTTGACATTCTAAATACCAGCTAAAGACCTGAGATGAGATCATTTCTTCAGTTAGTACTTGTAAGAATTATGCTAAAGAAAAATCATTCACAAACACTCATACCAAGCTGAAGTCTATTATAGAGATGAAACGGATATCCGGTAACTATCCGGTAGGCCGGATATCCGGCCTAAATTTACTATCCGGCCGGATACCGGATAGTAACTCACTATCCGGCCGGATACCGGATATTAAAAAACTACGACAATTTCCTATTAATAAAATGAAATACATTAAATCTTTGGGGTAAATAAATATCAATAAAATGGCTTATAATAATGACGGCTTTTATTAAAAGTCCAAAAAGTTACAAAAAAGCCATATTAAGGCCTTTCAAAAAACTAATTTCTTTTTCTGGGCTATTATCTCTAATTACGAATACATAAATGGTAAATATCTGTTAATGTCAAAATATTGCCAAATAAATTTTCGCTATTCAATCACACACTCACGATGGCAACCAAAATCGCCCGAATTAATCTGCCCCCTAGACAAGTGGCAAAATCTGACATTCTATTCGGATGAATTCGATTTTCGAAAAGTGACTAATCCCACCACCACCCATGGTTCTTCCTGCCTCACGGCGTACGAACCGAATCTCGGGAGAGCGCGCAGGTACTTGCTCAGGGCTCTTTCCCCGGGCGCTTTGCTTGACTCCCTACAAATTTCTCTTATCCTTGTCCCTTCTCATTGTCAATTCTCCCCCTTCTGGGGCTTGACACCACAAATACGGTACTTCGCGTCGGGCTGCTAACGTTGATGAATGTCATCACTTCTCGTAACTACGCCTAATAGTGTACCAGGAGTGCGTGAGTCGAAAAGTGACTAGTCTAGTCTACTAATAGACCCACTGATCGCGTTCGAAACACCTGTGCGGCGCTAAACTCGTCACGACATGCAACGAGACAATGGGCCAACTATCCGGCCGCCGGATATCCGGCTATCCGGCCTAGCAGCTGGCCGGATATCCGGTATCCGGTATCCGGCCAAACAACTATCCGTTTCATCACTAGTCTATTACAATTTCTCCATAATATTTTATAGTTGCTCATAAAGCCTGACAAGATGGCAACCAAAATAAAGGAAATAGAGTACCTACCAATAAAATCTTGCTCATTTTGTCCATTCAGAAAGTATAATGAATAATAATAAATTCTATTGAAACAAAACAAGCCAAGCGTTATCTTAAATTATGTTGGCTACTGTTTTGTATTTGAATGAGATAAAAATATTCACTGGATAAAATACATGTTTTTGAAAATCAACTTTATTTATGGAGAAATAGGATTCACAATGTTGTGAACAATATTAAAATGATGCTTTGGTTTTGTTTAGTTTTTGTAGGTATAAATTATTTAGTTGGACTGTGTTTATGTATTTATTGTGTAAAATATACTTATCTTCCATATTATACATTTTAGGGAGAGGCATTACTGGCAGCTATAGATGTGGCCAAGCCGGGGAATTCTAAAATAAGGCAATTGTATAATATTACCGGCTTTCCGACATTGTTGTATTACGAGTAAGTTATATTTTTTGCTACGACAAAATACCATTACATGTTTAAAATACTATTGTATTTTATTACTCATAAATAAATGTTAATTATAGAAAAGGCCAATTGCGATTCCCGTATAATGGAGAAAATAAGAGGCAGGCTATTGTAGATTTTATACGAGATCCTACTACGCAACTGCAACAAAAGAAAAAAGAAGTGGCTGATGAGAGCTGGTCGGAAAATAGTGACGTTATACACTTATCAGGTGAGTGCAGTGGCGTACAATAGGGTTCTTTTTCAAGGGGGGCCTGGCCTCTGATATGCCATATCACGGGGGTGAAGGTGAGTTAGTACTATCAACTATCATCTTCAAATCAGTCACACAACATCACCAGACCATTCCGAGGAGGGTGTTTTTACCAACTGGTATTAAGAACTGAATGACTATTTGTGTATTCTATGGTATCAATTTAAAGTATTTATAATATTACCTTTAAAATGATACTATTTTTATTTCTAGTTCTTAAGTTCGCTCGGAATAAATAGGGTGGTTCTATCTTTTGCTCCCAAGTGTAGATAAGCCTAGGCGCAGACGACCAGATGGCCGATAGTGGAATCGGTCTGTTGATCAGTATGAACATGTATGGAAGTACGCACACTACACCGATTTGGTAATCGGCCGATTCCTCTTAGAATCGGGCCCAACTATCGGCCAACTAAAAATCGGTGGTCTGCGCCTAGGCTAAATGTTGCTGCATTTATTATTATTTTATAAACTATTCAACCTTTTCAAATCATTTGATTATTGTTTCTTCTGTCATGAAAACTGGCAAAGATCTTGTTTGTCAGTTCGACATAGGCAAATACACAACGTGTCACCAAATTATTTTATGCATGGACAAAAACCGATAGATTTAATGATTAAAGATAACTAATTATGTATTTGGTTCGATTGCTACGCACACATTTGTGTAGAGGTAACTAAATGATATTATTATTTTACCATAGTTCTTTATGACAAAATGTAATTGTTTTCAGCGGAGAATTTTGATAGCATACTGGGGAAGGCTGAAAACGCCTTGGTGGTGTTCTATGCTCCCTGGTGTGGTCACTGCAAGAAGATTAAACCTGAGTTTGAAAAGGCTGCCACAAGAGTAAAGACTGAGAAGGTAAACATAATGATTAATATTTATTGCATTTTAATTTTGACTCGCCTCAGCATCCTAAGTACAGTACTACACAGTGTACAATACTTGTTCTACAATACATGCAATATTTTGTGATTTGTTCAATTTTGTGTCATGCTACTTTGTTCTCTTGCTTTTGTAGGTTTAATGAAATATTTGTTTTGTTTCCTTATTTTTCCTTATTATTTTTGCTAACAGTATAGTCGCGTTCCTTCACACCGTAGAAAATCTCGTCATTGTTTGATAAACGTGACAATTACAAAACCTTTATGTTTATTGTTTGCATGATATAGGGTGATTGCTNTCACCCTATTTAATTATATGTATAATAATAAATGTTTAATTTTTAGATAAACGGTATACTAGGAGCAGTTGATGCAACAAAGCACGCAGATTTAGCCTCGCGTTTTGGTGTTAGAGGCTATCCTACTTTGAAATACTTTAGTAAGGGCGAATACAAGTTTGACGCTGGCCATGCCAGACAGGAAGAGCAGATTATTAGTTTTATTAAGGTAAGGTATTCTTCATACCATGACTCTTGACATAAAAGTATAAAAACCTTAGAAAGTTTTATTTAATTTCTATTGGTTTTATTAATCAACGAGATAACTTGATTAATAACATGACTGTCCTACTCTTGACGTTGTTGATAAAATATATTTTTTTGATTATATGAAAAATGTAAAGCACACATTAAAATGATTAGGGATTATCTTCCACCGATTTAAATTTTAGACATCAGTGAAGTACTTTTCTAATCAGTGAATTTTATTTAGTTATCTTACGTTATCTTTGTTTTAAATATGCATTTAATTAGTGGTGTATTTGTCGATAAAATAAAATACCCAAAATTAAAAAACAAAATTTTAGGGTATTGTTTTTATTACTTTTTGTGTTCAGTATCAGTAATACAGGGTGGCCAAAACAGTGAGGTCTAAAAGAAAAATTTAGATTTCTTACATCAAGGTGTACCTAAATCACCCCCATGTATATTATACGATTGTGCTTAGTTTAGGAGATAGAGTTAATTTTGTGATATTTTAAAATTTTATGACCTACTAGACTTTAAACATTTTTATCTTTTTTTTGGGTTGACTTTTGTCAGATTTCTATTTTTTCGACAGATTCGTTATGAACTGCAGATGTTTGAAAAAAATAATCGCCTTCCTATCTTTGATTCAAGATACAAAAGTTTTGCTAGAAACATTAAAATTATGATTTTATCAGAACACTATCAAATTTTCAACTTAAAAGTTTAAGTAAAAAAAAGAACTTCCATAGGTCCAAAACTGTTTTAAAAACTGCGCCATTTCCTGAACTTTCATAATAATACAAAAAAACATGTACTTAATAGGCCACTATTTCCTGTAATCGGTCCACTAAAGTGGTAAGTCGGAGATTCCGTTACATGTTTTTGACTTTCTTAGAGTGAATTAATATTGGGAATCCTCTAAGTTTACATTACGTAGAACAGATTTATAATTTTAATGTTTCTAGCAAAACTTTTGTATCTTGAATCAAAGATAGAAAGGTGATTATTTTTTTCAAACATCTGCAATTCATAACAAATCTGTCGAAAAAAAGAAATCTGAAAAACGTCAACCCAAAAAAAAGATAAAAATGTTTAAAGCCTACTAGGTCATAAAATTTTAAAATATCACAAAATTAACTCTATCTCCTAAACTAAGCACAATCGTATAATATACATGGGGGTGATTTAGGTACACCTTGATGTAAGGAATCTAAATTTTTCTTTTAGACCTCACTGTTTTGGCCACCCTGTATAGTTACAGGCCAGTAGAATTAGATTTTAAATCAGAAATAATTCCTACAAAAGATTTTATTGCTTTAATGGCTTCATTGGTTGCCCATTAAGATTCTCCTAAGTTTTCGACTTCGACGGAGTTGTGCTTAAGTGGTGGGGGCCCCCGAAAGGGGCGCTTTTTCGTTTTACCGGTTATACCGCGTAAAGGACGTACCCTATCGAAAAGTGGTCTTCCTGACGGTTGAAGGGCATTTAATCCTGCATTAAATAAGACCAAATTCATATGTTTTGGACAAACCATTCTCGTGCAAATGTTCGGCAAAGCAGAAAATATGTGTATAATTAATGACCCTCTCCACTTCCAATAGCTCGTCACCCGTAAGCTCCCAAGCCTAGTAAATGGTCGCCTTAACCAGCGTATCCCTGTCAAGGCTCACGAGTTGGATTCGCTTATCCTTGTTGGTCCCAGCCGTTCCTTAACTGCGGTTGCTGCATCTCTCCCTGGGACTCCTGAACGACTCTGTGTTACCTAATGTGGCTGCCCCTCTTCCTTGTATCCTCCTGCACGACTACATTGCCTAGCCGTATGCCTGGTCTAAGGTTCGACGCCACAAAATCAACAAGGAAGAGGGGCAGCCCCAGTAGGTAACACAGAGTCGTTCAGGTGAGTGCCAGGAAGAGGTGCAGCAACCGCAGTTAAGAAACGGCTGGGACGAACAAGGATAGGCGCATCCAGCTCGTAAGCCTTGATAGGGTTACACTAGTTGAGACGCTCCTTTTCAAGACTTGGAAGCCTGCGGGTAACGAGCCATTGGACGTGGAGAGGGTCATTAATTATACACATATTTTCTACTTTGCCGAACATTTGCACGAGAACGGTTTGTTCAAAACATATGAATTTGGTCTTATTTAATGTACGATTAAATGCCCTTCAACCGTCAGGAAGACCACTTTTCGATAGGGTAAGTCCTTTACGCGGTATAACCGGAAAACCGAAATAGCGCCCATTTCGGCGGCCCCCACCACTTAAGCACAACTCCGTCGAAGTCGAAAACCTGGGAGTGTCTTTATGGGCAACTAATGAAGCCATTAAAGCACTAAAATCTTTTGTAGGAATTATTTCCGATTTAATTCATTTTTGTGTTTAATTCTACTGGCCTATTAGCTCTGTAAATATGGCAAGAATGCAAAGTGACACCGTGTATTATCTCAAACTTTACAATTCAACTTGTGTTTTCTACCTTATGCTGATACTATAAAACTCAATTTCCTCGGACAGGACCCGCAAGAGCCGCCGCCCCCGCCGCCGCCGGAGAAGCCCTGGGCCGAGGAAGAGTCGCCCGTGCGCCACCTCCACGCCAAGACCTTCAAGAACACCCTGCGAAAGATCAAGCACGGCCTCATTATGTTCTATGCACCATGTAAGTTAGTTTTTTTATTCAATACTTTGGTCCTTTCCAGGGTGCTTATGCAGTTATTCACTTCCCAAATTTAGCTTGCCCTACCACTACTTCGGGACAACATATTGGTGTTTATTGTGCTGGTGCTAAGAAGAGTCATCTTTGTGAGATATTATCTACTGATATTCGCCATTTTCCCCATAGTCCCATACTATGAACCTCTTTAAGGCACAAAACATTCCAAGGGCTATGCTATGCTCGAATTTTCCCTATGTGATCGAATCAACAATAAGGAGATCCGCAGGAGAAACGAATTAACCGACATAACCCGAACTTAAGAGTAGGCGCACACCGTTGATTTTTAGTTGGCCGATATTTGTGCCCGATTTTAAATTGTATGAAGAATCGGCCAAATCGAATCGGCGTAGTGTGCGCACTCCAATACATGCCCATACTGATCAACTGAAAAATCAACGGTGTGCGCCTACTCTAAGTGGTATTGAGCGGTGCATATAGCTGACGGCCGTCAGGGAATCCCTCCACTTGACCATGACCATTCCATCCTTACCGTTAATCTGTGTGCTTAGTGCGAGTTTCCATCAAACGTCATCGCTAGCGACTGCGTAAAAAAATGACATGAAATGTATGTCAGTTTGTACAACGTCCCTAGCGGATATTTTCAAGAATTATTGACGTACTCGCTAGCGACGACTTTCAATGCATACTCGCACTAAACTGGTTCTGGCTGAATCGCGGGAGGAGTGCACAGAACTGCGTCTGCCTTGGCTCGCCACACTTCTTCACTCTACAAATTATTTACTCTTCGTCCATGTCCATGCGCGTGCGATTTTCCCCCTTCCGGAGCAGAAAAGCTCTCGAGTAGCTATCTCCAACCTAAAACTTCTTGTTGATGGTATCCCATTCGGTGACTTGATCTAGTGAAGGTCGCGGGAAAGATCTGGATGCAGGCGGCGCAGACCGGTTATGGAAATCATTGGAGGATTTTGTGCAGCTGTTATGGATACGGTTACGGATATAGGAATAATATTATACCGGTTTCGGTTACGGTTGCGGATATTTTTTTGTTTCGGATATCCGAAAGTTTCGGTTACGGTTACTGATATCTGTGCTTTAGAATGCAATTTGCAATAGTTGTCCAACACGGTTCATTCATGGCCGCATCGGCCGCACACTTTACATCGAATAAAGAGTAATAAAAAAAATTGATACTTCCTAGATGGCATTATAAAGGTAAATCAGGCTGTTATGTCTTTACACATTTTATAATGCTATACAAAAAACAATTTAAACTGCCTACATCCGAAACTATCCGAAACTTTTGAATCGGTTACGGTTTCGGATATTTTTTTATTTCGGATATCCGAAAGTTTCGGTTACGGTTACGGATATCCATGACATCCCTGCTGTGAACGTCCTTTGGCGGAGACATTGCTACCTTCTAATTTCTACCATCTTGTAGGGTGCGGCCACTGCAAGAGTACGAAGCCGGAGTTCGTGAAGGCAGCCGAGAAGTTCGCTGACGAGCTGATGGTGATATTCGGGGCTGTGGACTGCACCACGGAGCAGACGCTGTGCGCTTCCCACGACGTGCGCGGCTATCCCACCATCAAGTACTTCCGATACTTCGACAAGGATGTCACGGACTACTCAGGAGGACGCAAGGTAATGTCATAGTGATTATTCCTTCGAAAAGAGCAACAACCACGAGATGTCAAACGAAACCAATCCTGCGTGACTCTGGTGTGTCAATGTCAGGATTATTTCACTGTTTTCGCTACTTCAAGTACTTTCGCTACTTCGACAAGTAGGTACGAACTGGTGGACGTAAAGTAATATACATATCAACATACCGAGCTGAATTCAGCGGGCATAAGACATAAGCGATGAAACCTGGCATCGGGCGTCTTAGCAATTTTACCGTTAATTACCTTTGTAAATCACCAATATGAAATACATGTCCTTTATCTCAGATTTTTAACAATCTTCGTTCCATTGTTACGCATATTCGTTTAATTATCTAAATTATTTACTATGATAGCTGCTAAATATCCGAACATTGCTCAGAAAATTGTTTAGGTATAAATATCATATTACCTTGACCTCGCTTAGACGAATAACATGTATGACGTCATACACGTTCAATTTAGACACGGCTGTATTCTCTAAATGACGGAAACGATAATATGAAATCCATTTTGATTTTAATACCCAAAACAATCACGTAAATCCTTTCAATGCAAAAAATAGGTCGGTTTTTAACACGCTTTTATTAGGTCGTCGTGTATGTAACTAACTATGTTATGGAATCTAAGAATCTCTAAACTAAGATAGTAGTTTTTAGTTTTTTAAACTATTAATACTTCTTCTTCTTCTTTTCGTGTCGACAACAAACCTACACAGTGTCAGCCCAAAACTCCGCCACAAGAGTGGCGTTGTCAGTAGCACTCATCAAATCCTCCTGAGTGCAGTTGCTTGGGCACTCAGGGCATGACATCAGGTGCCTCATCGACTAGGGAACAAAACCGCACCTGCACTCCATGTTCAAGCCATCCAAGAATCCCCACCTAGCCAGATTGTCCTTACTACGGCCAACCTGCGTCCGAAGTCTACTAATACTTATTAAGCTGTTATAAAGGAACAATTTTTAATTAATCTGTTAATAATGTCATAATTCGTATGATTTCAAATAATAATAATACGTTAATATAACAGGTTGTATCTTATCTTATGTTTTCACACGTCATGTCTGTGAACAGGCGCTGCCTTCGGGGACTGGTCAAGACAAGATATACCTACCTTAAATTTTTTAACATAATAATTAACAATCAACTTAGACAGTGGCACGGCACTAAATCTTCTAAATATATAAAAGGAGAAACTGACTGACTGACTGACAGATCAACGCACAGCCTAAACGGCTAAACGTAGGCACTTGAAATTTGAAAGGGACGTAGCTTAGGTACCGTAAAGGTGCACTAAGAAAGGAATTCCCGAAATCCTCACGGGAACNCTCTAACTTTTTTATTTTTCAACGAAAGTCCATGAAACTTTTTGACTTTTTCTGATTTATTGAATTTTATCATTTTTTAATGTTTTTGATCATATAACATTAATAGAAAAAAATTAAAAATCTGTTTTACCTAGAAGCGCCACTGGGTCATTTTTGTCCCACCCTGGTATTTGCAACAATAATTCGATGAAGAGTCCTTGTTTCGAGGAGATACGAGAGTGGAGAGGTGAGGAGCGTTTAGGTGACAATGTGACAATGCAGAAATGCAAATATAGTGTACTAGTTTTTGCCTGTGACTTCACCCGTGAGAAATTAAGTTTATCATAGAAGGACCTAATTTCTTGACACTTATCGTTTTTATTTGACCAAATCACTGAACATTATTGTAAATTATAGCCTATATTATGTTATTATGAAGTATTAACAATAAAACTGCAAAGATTTATTAAGATCGGCCTAGTATTTTTTGCGCAAAAGTGTGAAAAAACATCTATCGATCTAACCATGAATCCATACTCACTTAGTTCAAGTTCAAGGCATATATCCACCCATTCATTCTTCCTATCCATTCATCAGTCCATCCATCCTTCAATTCATCAATCTTTATTAACTTTTACATTTATAATATTAGTAGGAAGGTGGCTTCTAGACATTGGTCAGTTCATGCATTGTATGATTTGATACATTTTTAAAATGTGTGACTTATGAAATTTTGAAAATTAAACGTACATACTTTTCATTGTAACTGGTAAAAAACTTCACTGTGTGTGTACGGATAACAGAAAAATAACCATACCTATAGAAATTCCTAAACGCATAGTACACCAGAGAGACAAAAAGACCATATAAAAAAACTTTGTGCAAAATGTGCACTATTATTTATAAGATATTTATTTTTCCTTCAAAAATAATAATGACTAGTTAAAGTAGTAATTTCATAATTTTAATACAGTATAACACCATGTAATAAGTGACTATTTTTATATGAAACCAAAAATATGTGACTCTTAATAATTCAAAATTAAAATTGAATACATTAATATTTTTAGAGAAATAAGTACATATTGATTTAACTATATAGAAAAACCTTTTTTTAAAGATACTACAAATAGTTTTAATCATAAAGTTCATGCCCGAAACTAAAAAATGTTACAAAATATATGCTGGGACAACATTGACCCAGCGGCGCTTTTAGGGGGGTCGTAATCTTCGGCACTTCTAGTGTTAATTGCGTTTTGTAGGAACACGTTCATCTTTTGAGTAATACTCGTAGAATGCTTTTACTTTTGTGGGGCTTTGAGTTCCGTAGAATCTAAAAGAAAATAATTAGGTCTCTAAAACAAGTTTCATTTTATCAATAACTTTTTACAACGTATTAAAATAAATTATATCACTTCATCCATATAGAAAAACAAATTTTAACGTTTGGCGTCTTTATGAGGTACTTTTGAGGTACTTTATGAAGTACATTCATTCATACCATGACACTTCATTATTTTTTGCAAAATACTTAATACTTTAAATACGCACAATATGATGCCATGATGTTTGCACACATGGTGTTTCGTTGTGCGTAAATAATTCATCAAGCAATAAAATTAATAGCCAGTAACTTGTACCTAAGCGTATGTACCATCTAAATATTACTTCAAAATGTACTTCTAAAATTATTTTACTATCGCAGTTAGATAACATTTCAAACAAAATAATGCTGGCTAAAATATGTAAAATGCAAAAAGTTTCCATTCCTATCTTTTACACGAAACAATGTTGTCTAAAATATTGAAAATCCAAAAAGTTTTCAGATCTTTTACAGGCTGTTTTATTCCCCAACCACCAGAAATCTGTTTAAACGCTAGCGTCTAAAAAGCTCTTAAATTAATTATGAATCTCCGGTCCCTAAAAACATTTCTATGCTTATTCAGTGGGTATCAGCAAGTATTATCTGTCAAAGACGAGATATAAATTATGGCCTTCCCGGAGACAATGAGACCTGAATAAAACATGCTGGAGTTGTGGTCGATTGCCTAACGACGTGCATCGACAACTTGCACTTTGTGTACAGGGTGTTGGGAATAAAGATGAGATTAGTGACAATGTTTATGGTAAAACTATTACTATTAAAACTATTAGCAAGCAAAAGCAAAAGTATTTTAGTGTTTATAATGTTATCAGTGTCATGCTTTCGATGCTGCTTAACACTTTACTCAGATAATGGTAAACGAGGCCCATAGTATGTTTTTTTTTACTTTCAGACAAATTGCTAAAGATTACCTACTTTATGCTTTGCCAAAATTCCATAAAAGTTTGTTCCAACATTGAGCTTAGAGAAAATTCAGTAGCTTACTCCTAAAAAAAATCTAGTTGAAGATATTTATTTCTACTTTTGATATCATGCCCTAGTTCTATTGCAGCACATTTGTGGACATACTTTTGAACAAGTCGTATTTTCAAAAAGTGTTCGGAAAATCTCAAGAAGTCATTAATTTTACTAGTGTTTTTGAAAAAGTTTAATAGGTATTCTTTAAGGATCACCCTATAAATGTATCATATAATATCTTTGATAAATGACTGATCCAATGAATTAATTGTGACAGTAGTGTGTTATTATAGATATTGGTGTTTTATTTGCAAATTGGCAAAAAACGAGTTTCAACATCAAAACATGGCTGGACTCACGGTTTGTGAGCATGGTTATAATACAATCTATAACAGTAATTCACAGTGGGTATTCTTAGTTATTGTAAATGTAGAGTCAGCAAGAAAACGTACTTCTAAATATATACAACTCAAAGGTTGACTGACTGACTGACTGACAAAGTGATCTATCAACGAACAGCCCAAACCACTGGACGGATCGGGCTGAAATTTGGCATGCAGGTAGATGTTACGACGTAGGCATCCGCTAAGAAAGGATTTTACGAAACTCCAACCCTAAACGGGATCCACGCGTACGAAGTCGCGGGCGGCCGCTAGTATACTTATATTTTTGTGGCAAAGTCGCATTTATTAGAACAGTATAAGGTGCTAAATGATTAACTTGGGAGCGAAAAAAGAAATAGACATTCACACATTGAGTTTGCTTCTAGCCCATTAATTATGTATAGATGTATAGAGGACGTTTAGAGGTGCTTCTATAAGCTTTTGGCAACTCTGTGGTCACTGTGATTAATTTGTGCTGTGCTACCTGTTATTTAAAACCAATGTTCTAAAGAATTATTTCTTACTCTGATTCTGTCTAAGTACAGAGTAAGCATCAGTTAAGACAGATTCGATAGCGTTCTAGAGAACATCCTTGAAAAGAACATCCCAGACCCCAAAGTTCAATACCAGCTGTCTATGTCTAACGAACATGAGCGAATATTATCAGATATTTATATCAAATAAACTTCGACACTTTGAAACAACTTTGTTTCAAGCGCTTTCATTAAAGTTAAGTAGACAGTAGCTTCACCGTTTACCCACCACAGCAGTTAGGTTCTGTGTCCGTCCATCTTACTCGTATGGTGTGAGATTCGAATTGGGCACTCACCTGATGGATGGGGAAGATAAATTACATACAGATTTACCTACCTACCTTATAAAAGCATGATTTCTCACTTGAAAAAGACTGCTATACGAGTAAGTAGATGTAACTTAAAAGCACGATACTGTGCGGATCATCGGCACAAATTTAAAAGCGATTAATTTATTAAACTAAAATGGATCACAGGGTGAAATACACTTTGAATTTCTATAGTAGCTCAATGTAACATGAGTGAGCTTACTGAATCTACCTCTAATGAACAATAAATATCATAGCGAATAGAAGTTTATTTTCAAACTCAAGAAAGAGGAAAGTTTCCCTCTGAGAAGTATAAGTTAGTTATCTAATCGTGAAATCATATTCGCAGTTAAAAAGTTAAATTGAAAAGTTCCAGCTCGAATACGATTCAATGAAATACTTATTGTAATTATTAGTATTCTTTCCAAATAATACTAGGATTTCTCCAGGATTTTAGAGTTGTGTGACTAATAGGTCTGTATTATGAAATAACGTAAAATACACGATTCGAAAAAAAGGTAGAATGCAAATAGTTACATCATACTATTACATATTTTTTTTGTTCTTTTATGTATGTATTANGAAAGCTAGTCTATCTATATAAATAAAAATGAATTGATGTTCGTTAGTCTGATTATAACTCGAGAACGACTGGGCCGATTGAGCTGATTTTGGATTTAAAATCTTTGTCGTAGTCCAGGTCTAAACGATGAGTAAATACGCGCGCGATATTGTTTTTCTGTGACAGACAAAATTCCACGCGGGCGAAGCCGCGGGCGGAAAGCTAGTATAAGTACATATATACAATTTATTTAAAACTACCACACGGTTTTGTTATGGTGCCTTGCTTTTCTCTCTAGAGTTTTCTTGCCTTGTCTCTTAGATAGTTTTATATCTGGCACTTAGCCAGAAGGATATCTTAGACTTGTCATGCTCACTAAAATGTCTCTGGGGTAGTGGCGTGTAAGGCGGGTCGTTACATTCCCTATAATATGGTCGAGTGAAGCGATGGCTGGTTCACACGTCATGTCTGTGAACAGGCGCTGCCTTCGGGGACTGGTCAAGGAAAGATATACCTGACATAAAATATATGTATCAAAACGTAACAATTAACCTAGAAATTAGCACGGCACTAAAGAAATATATTCAAAACTGCCACGCGGTCTCGTGCTAGATGGGCGTCTTAAAGGCCACCTTCTATCAACGGGAGCGCGTGGTAAGTAACTTGCTTCTGAATGTATGTAACTTCCTACTTTTTTATATTTTTAAATATTTTTAAACCGGCAGACAGTGGTGACTGAGTTTGTTGCGGCGCTTCTTCTCAGCACTTGCCAAATGTTTGTCTCGAAGCGCTGGTAGGGCAAAAAAAGAATGAGACATGTATAGGCTCCTTAAGAGCATTTGACGATTTGCAAGAACTAATTTAATTAGTCTAAACAAATAAAGATAATTTTGATTTTTGATTTTGATTTTTGATTATGTTGATTTTAATTTATTGGGAGATAAATAAGGGTTTCTTGTCAGGACTACGGAACCCTTTTCCCGTCACCACTGCCGGGGGACAGGGTGGTGTGTTGTGGGACTCCCGGCGCCCTGAAAAGGGCGCTGCTCCGTCCTGAAAAGACTGACGGGGTATACCCTCTAAAACCTCCGCGGCGTTCCGTCATCGCCCGAGTGGGGGTGGGACTATGGAACCCTGAAAAAAAAACTGGATACAGCGCTACTTTTTCAGTGTTGTATGAGTTTACGATTAAATGAAACGTTCAGAGTTGTGGTTTAGATCCATACATTGTTTCATGTTGCTTCCTAACTACGACTACAACATGTTTTCTGAGCCTTAAATTAATTAACATTCATTTTGTTTCCAGGAGGCGGATTTCGTGTCATTCATCCACAGTCAGATGGAGAACTTCCAGACGTTGCAGAAAGCGCCGAAGACCACGCAGGAGGCTGGCTTCGGGGTCAACGTGGTGCTCTCTTCAGACGAGGACTTCGAGTCTCTCATATCCTCGCCATCACCCACCTTCGTCATGTTTTATGCGTCATGTGAGTGTCATATCTGTCTTTATTAGAATTTGTTAAAACGTTGTAATAATTCCTCCATTTGCTGGTAAATTAGAGAGGGTCGTGCTCCTGTTGCGGAGACTAAATGACCTGATGATGATGATGATGATGATGTGTAATAATTTCAGAGGTCTGCTTTAGACCTTTATAGGTGATTAAAAAATATTTCGCGCTCACTTTACGATTACATCTACTACATGTTATATGTTTTTGCTTAAGATGGTTTTGAAGCTGGCTATTTCGAAAATATTTTTTATTAAAGTATTCGATTTGAAAATAATCAGTCAAACAGCCTAGCGTACGGTCTTATTGGAACATACGCGGGATGTTTAAAAGTTAGGTACTTATTCGAGGCCCCATTTCAGGGTGCGGCCACTGTGTGACTGCGAAACCCGCGTTCAGTCGCCTAGCGACGACGTTCAAGAATGAGAAGTCACCTGTCAAAGTCATCGCTGTGGACGCCTCTGAGAACCCCAAAGTTGCCGACTTGGCCGGCATCGAGACTCTCCCCACGTTCAAAATCTTCGCCGATGGAAAACACGTGGCAGATTACACCGGCGACCGATCCACCGAAGACATGATCGCTTTCTGCAAGAGCCACGTCAAGGTCAAAGACGAATTGTGATCTTTAGCTCACTTTGTGTATGCCACACTATTATTATATCATACCATTAACTACATGTACCACAGTGTTATTTTTGTTGTCGCAATACTTATTTATATAATAATGCATATTATTGGAACATAATCATGTAATTGTAATAATCGTATACGTAATTTTATTATACATCTTAAATGCATTTCAGTTGGTTTAGGTCTTGTTGAGTTTGCAGTTTGCCATGTTTTGAATCTCTATTTTGCCTGATCGTTCACTTTCAGTATCAAGTATTTCGTTTAGTAATCATACCTGCGATGCATTTACTATTGTAATTGTATAGAATGTAAACTATTAATCAATGATTAGAACTTATAAATTAGATGTATCCTATAGTTACTTTTAATTCAAGATAATTAATATTAACAAACATCTTAATAATTATGCGAGGTGGGGCCTTCTATAGAAGTATGCTCGAATATCGTACAGCAAAGCTTTTAGATTACAGACTAGGCAGACACGAACGATATAAACGCGAAGGATGTTTGTTATCGTGGTTTCATTTTAACTACTCCCTGCGAATATTATCACCATATGTTTGCCTGCAATTTTTTTAACTTTGTTAATATTTATAATCTCGAATTAAAATTGTGACTAATATTTATTTTTGTAAAATGGTTAATTGTAATGTATTTCATCATAAGCAATATGTTTTGTAATATTTACATACTTGTAGAGAATCGTTTCCCAAACAACTTTTACGTAGTTTTGTTGAGATTATGTATTTATTTATATTGATGTAGCTAAATATTTGGCAATACTCACACCGGCGTTGTGACGTAATGATAACTTTTATATATCTATGAATTCATATATTTTTGTACATGTGTTATTTATGAATGTTACAATAATTTCTCTTCGTTATAAGTACTTTAATGTGCAATTCGTAGTACTTCCTTTGAGACTTGCTCTTCCCATAAAATTACTATTGAACTGAATAGTGTAGTTGGTAGTACAGGCGACTGCACATCAGACTACATAATACTTTGTTGCAAAATTTCACTTATTACAAGTATATTTAAGATGCCATAGTGTTGAGTTTAAGTGCCGTTGTCTGTACATTATTTTTCTTCGCAATAAAAGTAACTCTTAACTTGATGACCAGTTAAAAGTATAGAAAATTCTACGTCGGAAATAGAGACTTGAACCGACTTTGCTAGTGTCAATTAACTATAAATTATTATAATGGACTAATGTCGGGAGGACAAAAAGTTAAATCTAATTAGAAATCATAAACAGTAATAATTAATAACCAGCCAATTAATATAAAGGAATTAGAATTAATGGAAAAAATATAAAAGGAACGATAAATAACTTTGGCTCTACTCTTCGCTGCTGCTGTTATAAAGGTACAAAGATCATCAGATTATAAATGTTTGTTGCATTGTCGCACCTACGACATAGAAGCCTGTGGTTAGCTTGGTGTGCTGTCGGGTGTAAGTACTATAAAAGCGGGGTCAGAGCTATTTTTGTACTTTTTATCACAATTAAACATTGGGTATTTTAGTTATAGTGGACTACCAATAAATTACAATAATTAGCATTTATAATTCAGTGGATAAGTAACACACTAATCTCTCTCTGTCTCTCTTTGACAAGTGTATTAAACCCTAACACCACGGTACGATATTTCCGAACGCGACGTTCAGTTTTTATTATAAATAGTTTTTGAATACCTACTACATACATTTAAGTATATAATAATAAACAATAACATGAAATCAGTGTATTAATGTATCAGCGTCTAATGATAAATTTGCCAAAATAGTATATTTATTATCTTATATGTATTTATAATAGTACAGTACACTACAGTAGTGCTTATCTGCTTATCATATTAATTTATCAGCAATGTTATCGTCCGAAAATAAGTAGAAATAATAATCATGCAGGCAATTTGTACTTACTTATAGTCTTGTTTCCAGACCTAATCGAGGTCGGGTTGAAACTGAATGCGATGGCCCTGGTGGATGAAGATACATAAGTTTTTATATCAAGTGTAACCGAGAAGCAAGAATAGTAAGTTAAACTGCTACATTGAGTTTTCTAGGTGTTTTAGTGATAGGACAGTTATTATTAATTATTAAATTATATTCCATTGCCACCTACTTGCAATAACTATTGAGTTTTCTAGTTGTTTTTGCGATAGGACAATTATTGTTATATGATATTCCTTTTCTCACCATGCAAATGGGCTTCCAATACTTAGAATTACAACCGAGGCTGATATAATGAGGGAACCACTCTCGACAGTCATAAGCGGCAGGCTGCTTAAAGTTTGAAGCATATAAAAGCTGATTTACACGTATTAAGTAGTTAAGTATGTAACTAAATTTTAACTTAATTCCAAACGTCAAGCTCTTGTTTACTATGAAACTGCTTGTCAAAACTTGTCAAGTGACAAGCCCCGCCCACCAACTTGACAGAAAAATTAAGTGAAAATTTAGTTACCTACATATCTACCTAACACGTGTAAATCGGTCTTAAGTGGCGATGGGCTCTTATTCTAAAAGAGACTCGAAATTATGATCAAGCATAGAGCCATGCCTGTTACGTGTTATTATAATATTCGGACCAACACAGAACACAGTGTCGTTTTATAATCCGTAAGGCCCGGGCCTAAGACTTGGCGTTCAAGTGTATGCGCATTACATATTAGACTCGTGAGCAAAAGTATGGAATCACCATACTAGACAACCTACAGATTGCCGATAGTTGGGTCAATTTCCAATTTGTATGAAGAATCGGCCGATACAAAATCTGGGTAATGTTGCGCACCATAGAGATCAGTGGCGGCGTAGCATGGGTTTTCACCCGGGGCGATTCCCCCGTCCATTAAAGTTGGCACCCCAGAATGGTCTGGTGCCCCCCTGGTGAAGATGAAAGATGTTAGTACAAAATGATGATTATAGTTTTGCTCGTAAGCATAGTAGAAAAATTAGTTTTGTCAATCATTTAAGAGTGGTCCTCGAGTGTGGACTGTCATACATGCTAAATACTTCAAGCAGCCGATTCTATTGGTTTGGAAACTTGCTTTCCTTGTTATCAAATTTTTTCGAGTAGTCAAAAGTTTGAAAATACTTTTTTAAACTTTTATTGCCTAAAAAAACTTTCCAAAACGGTAATAGAGATTGCATGTTCCTCAGAATTATTTTTAAACTTTGGTATAGCCTGACCAGGAACATAAAAACCCTGCCCTGGCATAGAGGCGCATCAATTGCATTTGATAGTGCAACACTGAGTACAGTCGTACCTGTGTTAAATTAATAGGCTAACTTTATGTATCAGGATTCAGGATTACGGGCTAATTTAATATTTTCATAAATTAACGAAAACATATTTTATAGGTAACCTGGTTTAAATAAATTAAATGAAACCATCAATCGAGCTAGTAGGATTTATTTTATTATTCATCAATAATCAAATTCAGAACTTGAATATTCAACTGCAATGTCTGCTCATGAACGCTTCAAACTCGGTACTTCTTTCCCAATTCCATAAAATTCAACACTTAGAAAGTGACAAAAAACTTTAAAATAGGTAGTTGAAACAAACCACAGCTAATTTTCATAGTGGACTGTACTATACGATAAACATGTCAGTCAATTTGACAACCTTTGTTGGAAACATTATTCAATGAAAATATTGTCCGAACCCTTGGTATTTCTCTTCGACAAATACTTTAACACATTGTGAACCACTTTTCTTTCACGACTATAAAAAGATTTTAGCAATTTCATTCACAAAATCAATTGCGCACATTTAAAATAAAGTTTGTTTACACTTTGACAGCAATAGACTGACATGCAAGGTGACATGTCAATGAAGTTTTCAGTTACTGTTGCCATTAAAAGAAATTAGTACCATTAGTTTTCCGCAACATGGCGAGGGTTTTTATGTTCCTGGTCAGGCTATACTTAATTTTTTTATAATATTTTAACATTTCAAGTTGTACTAATGTATGTTCCTTGGTGTAGTGTAAGCTGTTACTTACAATGGAAATGTTTCTGATCTGTCTAATAAATTTATTTTAATTGATAAAACTTGTTTTCATTCGACGTTGATCTCCTTTTGTCACACACACTTCAAATATATATATATGTTATTTTCAAAAAGTTATATTTCCTACCATTTCTTTGAAGTTCGATTTCCGATTGATAACTTCTTTTTCTTTAGCTAAGCGTCCACATGTCGGTATCGTACGCATCGGACGTATCGCACGCAACGGATCGTAGTATTATTTATATGGAAACTCATATAAGTGCGTCTACCTGTCCGCATGTGACGCTGACAAGTGGACGCTTAGCTTTTAAATGCTTTTCCAGAATACTTTACTTCCTGTAAATACAGGGTGGCTTGTTATGAGTGAACATCCTTAGTTATAATATTCGTTTTTTTAGCCGCACTATACTCAACTGTTGTTTAGTTTCACGGTTTTCTTTTGTTCTAAAGAATTCTATTGTAAAAGATCTGTGTGATATTGTGTTATTTGCTGATGACACATCTCTCATTTTCAAAGTTGATAGAGGTAAAGTAAATTTTGACGATATTAATAACACACTCTCACAGGTTCTACATTGGTTCACTGTTAACAACTTATTGTTAAATGCAAACAAAACTAAGTGCATTAAATTTACCTTACCTAATGTGAGGCAGGTTTCCACGCAATTAATGGTGAGGAATGAACCATTAAATAGCATAAATTCCACAACATTCCTGGGAATCACTTTAGATGCTAAACTTCAATGGGGTCCTCATATTGAAACTTTGTCAAAAAGGCTCAGTTCGGCTGCTTTTGCAGTGAGAAAGATAAGGCAATTAACTGACATTGAAACGGCAAGGCTAGTATATTTTAGCTATTTTCATAGTATAATGTCATACGGCATATTGTTGTGGGGCTCAGCCGCGGACATTGAAACTGTGTTTGTTCTGCAGAAGAGAGCAGTGCGGGCCATTTATAACCTTGGACCCCGATTTTCCTTGAAAGATTTTTTTAAGGAAATAAACATACTGACAGTAGCTTCACAGTTCATTTATGAAAACCTTTTATATGTCCGCAAAAATATAGAGCAATTCACGAAAAAGAGCGATTTGCATAACTTTAATACAAGAAACAAAAATAAACTTGCCGTTCCAAATTTCAGATTGCATAAGATTGGTAATTCATTTATGGGAAAATGTATTAAATTCTTTAATAAATTACCACAAACTGTTGTAGAACTACCCATTCATAAATTCAAAGCACATATTAAAAGTACCTTAATGAAAAAGGGCTACTATAAAGTCGATGATTATTTAAAAGATAAAAATGTTTGGGATACGTTACTGCCTAGCTCGCATAAATATTTATAACTTTGTACATTTTAAAGCATGTAAACCTTTGAAAAAGAGGCTGACAATAGTGACTGAGTTTCTTGCGCTGCTTCTTCTCAGCACTGGCCCATTTATTGTCCTGAAGCAGTGGTAGGGTTAATACTGGGACGTGTAAAAGTGCTTTTTTTAAGCCTATTTACAGAAATAAATGAGTTTTAATGAGTTTTAATAAATCATTATTTTACATCCACATCATCATACATTTTACCTTGTTGCTTTGTCTCGGGGGCTCTTGTAGGGTATGTAGGTAACATTACCAGTCACACCACAGAATAATGATGTCACACCTCTGCAGTTCTCTGTGGTTGAATATTCCGGGTGAAGCTCGCTTCCACCTTCGGCCTGATCGTCACTTACCATCAGGTGAGATACAGGCCAAGAGCTTCCTCGTTGTGGATAAAAAAAAATTAACGTCATACGCTAAAACATTGGACATTGGCAGTGTTGAGGGATGTGTTCGTATAGCCAGACTTAGACTAGGCGGACCACCGATTTAGAGTTGGCCGATAGTTACCGATTTTAAATTGTATAAAGAATCGGCGAAAAATCCGATGGTCTGAGCCTAGGCTTAGGGGAACTTCGCTGAATACGAATCTGTCAGATCTAAACGTGGTTAGGTATAGGAATAAAGTAAGAAACAAGAAGTCGGGGCCTATACACAGTGCGCGGGCGCACGCACGTATTAAGTATTTACCGAAAAAAATAGCACCTAAGAGCAGTGCAGTGAATTTTAGCCAGAGAGAAACAACCTATTTCCACCTAGGCTAGTAGGTAAATGGGATCATCATAAATTAGCAGATCAATAAAACAAACTTCAGCTGTACTTTTTGTCGCTTTTAATGTTATCTCTACTTTGATTATCACCTGTTAAAAATACATTTAATTCATCGGTACTACATCCGATTTCTGAAGAATCAAATGAAACATCTTCAGTGACGAGATATGGGTAACCAGAGAGCTCAGAATCCAAAGGGTTGTAGTACTGTCTGTAGCACACGTAGGATGAGAAGAAGCCTAGAGCTGATCCAACAAGGACATCTTCCCAATGATGGTGATTGTCACAGCACCGACTCACAGCGACTGCAGAAGCCAACACTAATGGTAGTAAACAGACCACCACGCGTAGGCTTTCGCCGCGACACCACGACAGTACACGTAGTCTTCCACAGAGCCATATGCTTAAAAATCCCATCGAGCAAAAGGCGAAGCTACTATGCCCACTGGGAAATGATTTTCTCCCTTCCATAACGTCTCTGACATTACCTGTACAGTGGAAGCCCACTGTTACTGTGCCAGTAGGAAAGCATCTAAAATAGAAATCTGGCCGCGGTCGTCCTACCAGCAGCTTAGTGCTTTCGGTAACTATAGCGTTTATAGTCAGTGCTAGAGTCCAAGCCAGTAACGCTTGTGCGGTGTCTTCGTAGTTTCTGGTCAGTAAATAAGGAAGGGAGAGAAGGATTAGAGGCACAAATACGATTATGACCACCATCATCCACGGTGGCACAAAGGAATCCTTCCGAGGCTTCATGTAATTTTGGAATTCCGATTCCGTAATGTGGTGAAGGTGAGGTTTTACATTCACTTGCATCAAGCAGACGATTAAAATAAGAAACACACGGATTGCCACCTCTGTTAATAAATTTGGTATTCTTCTTCTCATACGTTCCAACTCCACCCACATAACTTAAAAATGTCATGACATTGCCTGACGATTTGTGCTTGTAGAAATATCAAAAGCTTTTTCAAGTTATGGACATGGTATTAAATTATTGGCAAAGTGCATTCTGTAGCTCCTACCTAGGATAATCTGACAATCTTTGACAAATCGTATCAGAATAAATGTCAGAGGGAAAATTCAACCATAGAGATCAGAATTGAAACTTCTTTGATTCCATTTCACGAGTGTAGGTCTTGTTGCTAAATAAAATAGCAACAATGTTCAAAGTTATAACAGTTATAATACCAAGTTAGAGCATAAACTCGTTGTTTAGTGTGACCCTAAAAAGTGCAATAGTCGGAGTTTGGTCAGCATCGGATTTCCGATGTTCGGACGGACTCGAAATCTGCTATTGAGAACGAATTATAGAAAACAAGTGCAGTAAGCATTTCTCGCGCAACGTTTAGCGAGAGCTGAATTACGGAGCGGAATATGAGCTTACATAATTACTTATTTACGTTAATATTTGACCTTTCCCCATACTTATTTGGCATACGAATACTCGTATTTTGCCATTTACGTAGCGAATATTTGTCATTCAGCACTGCATGTGGCGCACAGAGCCAGTGCCGTATTATCCATAAGGCACTTTAGGCCAGTGCCTAGGGGCCCACTATGACCAGGGGCCCAGCACTCCCGATAAAAAAATGAAAAAAAAAAAAAATGTTAAAGATTATTTAAACTCAAATCACCCCAAAACTTCGCCTTATTTTGATTTACACATTCAATCGTCATATTTCGATATTGTGGAACCTAATTCATTTTCGTAACGTTGGCATTACTGCTTTGGTTTACATGACAGGTCGACCGTCGACGCCTTTCAGAGGCTAAAAAGCCTCACTGCGGAAGCTAGGGAGAGGGGTGAGGATGTGTTGGCTGTATCATTCGATATAGCCAACGCTTTCAACAATACCATCCCTCATTCCACCATACTCTAGGCACTTAAACATCACAGTATCTCAGTACCTTCGAGTGCTGCTGGCCGATTACTTACGGGACCGCGAAGTCCTGTATGTCAACAGAGACGGCCAGCTCAAAAGGCGCGGCGTAGCCAGCGGGGTTCCACAGGGTTCGGTGCTCGGTCCACTCTTGTGGAACCTAGGCTTCAACTGGCTCCTCCGGGGCGTCCTTCTCGCGGGCATGAGTGCCATATGCTATGCAGATGACACTCTAGTCACTGCCCGGGGGAAGACATTTGGGGCCGCGGCACGGCTGGCGTCGGCGGGCGCCACATTAGTCCGTCGCAGAATACGACGCCTCGGCCTGAAAGTCGCGCTGGAGAAGACTGAGGCCCTCTTCTTACCGGGACCTCGCCAGCGCACCCCTCCCGACGCCCACATTGTGGTTAAGGATTTTAGGATTGACGTCAAAGGCCTGATGAAATATCTGGGCCTCACGCTTGACGGGAGGTGGCATTTTAGCCCACACTTCAACGGGCTAGCGCCACGCCTCCTCAAGGCAGCTGGCACACTGAGTTGGCCCCTCCTGAATTTGGAAGGGCCACAAACGAGATGTCGTCGACTTTATGCCGGCGCGTTCTGAGGAGCATAGTGCTGTATGGCGCCCCAATCTGAGTGGACGCACTCAACAAAGAGGAAGAATGCTGCCCTTTTGCGCAGGCGCAGAAAGTCGCAAGGACCTACCGCACGGTAGGGCACGCTGTGGCGTGCGTCTTCGCTGGTACTCCTCCTTTGGAGCTAGAAGCTGGGGTCTTGTCTGTCATCTATCACTGGATGGCAGACCAGAAGGCGCGTGGAAAGCGCCCGGCCCCGGAGCGGCGCGGTGCCGTCAGGCAGGAAGAGCGCGAGATCATGATCGACCGCTGGAAGGAAGACATGACTCGCGCGCAGTTTGGCCGCCGCACTCTGGACGCCATTGGTCCTGTTCTGAACCAATGGTTGGAACGACCGCACGGGTTCCTCACGTTCCGTTCTGGCGCAGGTGCTAACCGCTTCGTACCTGCATAGTATCGGGCGAGAGGAATCCCCGCTGTACCACAAATGCGGCACACCCTCGCGGTCTGCACAGGCTGGGAGGAGCAGCGCCGTGTCCTCACTGCGGTCGTGGGCCGGGATCTTTCACTTCCGAGCCTGGTCAACGCCATGCTGGGAAGCGAAGGATGCTGGATGGTGGTCGCCTTCTGTTGCGAAGAGGTCATCCTTCAGAAGGAGGCAGCGGAGCGCGAGCGGGAGAACGACCCTCTCGCCTCATCGCTCTGCAGGCGGAGAAGGGGTGGAGCGGTTGTACGACCGTTCTACTCAGCCCCCAGGTGGCGGCCAGCAGGCCGGGGGTGCGGGGGCACCCTTGTCACCTCCGTCTGACGGGAACGGCTTGGCGTTTCGGGCCATTCCCGTCGGACCCCCACAATGGCGGCGTGTAGGGTCCGCCGTGTAGGCGAGCTGTCGCTGGTGGTGTCGCGGAAGTCTAAGGCTACGGCCCGATACTCGCGATACCCCCACTTGGGCGATGACGGAACGCCGCGGAGGTTTTAGTGGGTATACCCCGTCCTCTTCAGGACGGAGCAGCGCCCTTATTAGGGCGCCGGGAGTCCCATACACCACCCTGTCCCCGGCAGTGGTGACGGTGCGCAAAGCATTTCCTCCGCGACAAAAAAAAGGGGGGCCCGAAACGAACTGTGCCTAGGGGCCCCGAGATGGTTAATCCGGCCCTGCACAGAGCTTTTGGATTCCTCAGGTGCCTTTCGAAGCGGAGCGGAGCTTCAAACCAGTTAGGGTCAAGTGTGTGGGCACTGTGGAATCGTACGTAATACTTACGTTTTATTTTTGCACAAAAAATGTATGCCTGAATGTGAATGTGACATTTTCTAAAAAAAGCTTAGCTATACTTTCCTTTTTACAATTTCGGCCAAAAAACCTTGGAGTTAAAATAGCACTATAAATCTAGAGAAAATGACCATGTTATTCTAAACGTGAGTGAGAGTAATTTGATATTTACAGCCCTAAGCCTAGTATTCAGGTAAAAGCTTGGAACTGATTGTGCTTCGATAATCGATCGCATCAGCCTGGAAGTGTGATAGGAGCTAGTTCTAAGGAACGAGTCTGCGGCGCGTGCGCACTTCCTCCACGCAGTTCAGTGCCCCGACGCAGCTTTCTACTTTGTTCTAACTCTAACATGCACTTTAATTCTCACTATTCAAAGGCATGTTTTGGCAAACGCACTAAAACATTTTTGTAGTTGTAAGTTTTCGATTTAGTTAGCTAATATTACAGTAGAGACGAAATATGACAGAACGTTGTACTTAGAACCTCAGTCAGAACATTATTTTTTATACCCCCGATTTTCGTACCTACCAACATTGATAAAATGATGTCCTACCCAGTTCATGTTGTAATCTCACTTACCTAATTTTTAATACATACTTCCCATACTACTATTAGTTACACTAAAGTGACCACCGTCTGAAAAGCTCTCAAACTAAAATCTAACCTAACCGCCTCTGTGGTCTAGTGGTAAGACCACCTGCTTCAGACGCAGAGGTCCCGGGTTCGATTCCCAGTGGGGGCAGATTTTTCTGTTCGGTTGGGTTGGTGGTAGGGCTTGTTCTAAGTCCGCCTGGCTAGCTACCACCATCTTACCTAAGTCTGTCGCCATAACAACAATATTAACAGCATTGTTGTGTTCCGGCAGTTAGAGTAGAGGTAAGATAGCCAGTTCCTCCGTGGTTGAGGATTCCGGGTGAAGCTCGCTTCCACCTTTAGCCTAATCATCACTTACCATCAGGTTAGATACAGGCCAAGAGCTTCCTCGTTGTGGATAAAAAGAAAAAAACATATTGACATGATTTCAGAAACAAAAGAACTCTAACTAAGGACTAGTTACTTACCTACTTGAAAAGAATGGAATTAATCCTGTTAAATGGATTTGCACATACGTCATCATCATCATCATTTCAGCAGCCATAGGACTTCCACTGTTGAACATAGGCCTCCCCTAATGATTTCCATAATGACCGGTTGGTATCGGCCTGCACGCAGCAGCGCCTTCCTACCACTCGTACCTACTTATAGTGTCACTAGCGGTTGCCCGCGACTTTGTAAGTACGTGTGGAAACTTATAAGTCTTCCAACCCCCGTTTTACCCCCTTAGGGGTTGAATTTTGCAAAATGCCGTCATAATGAGCACCAACGTTCTAAAAGGAAAATTTGAGACTCCAAGCACTTTAGTTTCTGAGATTTCGTGATGAGTGAGTGACACAGCCCCTCACTATAGGCCTTATACAGAAGCTCAAAGTTGCACAGCGTGCTATGGAGAGGGCTATGCTCGGTGTTTCTTTACGAGATCGAATCAGAAATGAGGAGATCCGTAAACGAACTAAAGTCGCTGACATAGCCCGACGGATCAGCAAGCTGAAGTGGCAGTGGGCAGGGCACATAGTACGCAGAACTGACGGCCGATGGGGCAGCAAGGTTCTGGAATGGAGGCCACGTACCGGAAAACGCAGCGTGGGACGTCCACCCACAAGTTGGACCGACGACCTGATAAAGGTAGCGGGAAGGCGCTGGATGCAGGCCGCTACCAACCGTGCGATGTGGAAGTCATTGGGGGAGGCCTATGTTCAGCAGTGGACGTCCTGTGGCTGAAATGATGATGATGATGAGTGACACAGTCAGTCAGCAAGTGACCTTTACCGTGTACCGAAAATGTAGTACGTGGAGATCAAATTATAGAGCAGTGTGGGCTATCCCCAGGCCCAAATAAAGAATGCGCTAAGCGATTGGATAGTCACAGCTAATTATTTGAACCACATAGGTACACATAACTTCGGCTTGCAGAGAGAGCTACTCAGGCCCTTCTGACCCAGTCCGTCTCCGCAATTGTATCGTGAACACCTCGTCAAGTTAATTCATAACTTTTTCTTTATACAGTTAATCGTTGCACCGCGGAAACCCACTGCGGTAACAATGAGATCGCACAATTAAAATGCTTCAGTTAGATAATTCACTCGAGGAAATAGACGTCTAAATCAAATTATAAGAAATTAATTGCTCAACATTCTTAGAATCAAGTCATGGGCTATGTAAATTGGCAGATGCA